TCAAAGGATTCATAACGGAGTTCAGCCCTTGATTCATCCAATCTTCCCATCTACAGAGTCACCTGACAATTTATTCCGGCGAGAAGCCTTTTGTGTGAGACCAATGCAAATGCCGCTTTACAAGAAAATTCAATTTAATAAGCCATCTTACTCATGTGAAAGAGTAAGATGCTCCAGTAGTATAAATATTTATAGCATTCAGTACTTAACATTTTATTTAAATAGTTAATTGTTTACTATTTCATTTTTTAATTTGCAATTGGTGTATTTCTTTTTTGCAAATAAATGGATTTTAATTTCCAAGAGCCATGAAAGCATGTCAGTTTGGTGTCCTTAATGACAAATAATGCTGGAAATTTTAAAAAATTATGTTCTTTTGTTCTTGAGTGTAATTACACAATTCGCTGATATTCGCGACAAATAAACAACACAAGAACTCCAGCTAAAACATGTGTAAACAATTACAGAACTTACTCAACAAATAAGGTGTATTTTGATGGTCTAATAATTGTTTCCGAGATAATTTATTAAAACCAAATGTTTTCGGCCCATTCAATAGTCCATCCTCGGGTTAAACCAGAAGATTAGAATATCGGTGTTCCAAAATATATAGAATACAAATTTAATTACAAAAGAAAAAAACAATGAAATTTTACTGGATTGTTTAAGGTATTATATAATAAAAATCAGTAACAGAAAATTAAATTGCATGTTTTATGAACATACTTTATAATTTGTTCAGGTTGATTTCTCGAAAGGGTGCTTTCAGTCGGAGCAGACAAGTATATCCCACTGAGAGAAAAAGGGTTGCTGGAGTGGATAGGGGTCTGCCGTTAAGATTGTGTGAAAGTTAAGGTGGATCTTAGGGAAGTCTCCTCAACTTCGATTCTGGGAGGAGGCTGTGATAGGTCCCCTCCCAGGAACAACTGATTGACGAAGGAGCGTGGAAGGGTCTAAATGGGCATCTACTTTGGTGAGCTTCACGATGTAGTAGTTCCTAACATCCATAGGGCTGGTGAGCACAAGGAAATTTTATGGTCAAAGCTATTTGCTCTACTATTAGGCTAAGGATGTGGCCGAGAGGCTCTTGGCATATGTGGCACATAGAGATTTGATAAATTGAGCACTTTTATACTGTAATATATTTCGCTACTAATATTAAGATAAACATAGAGTAAAATGTTAAATATTACGGTAAAACCTCTAACAAGATGACCTGTTTTGGAGACGGTCATTTTAAAGGAAATGATGAAAATATGACAGATACAGAGAACTGTATAGATTAGTGTTTCTCAACCTCTAATGAATCGTCGCCACCTTCAATAAAACTATTATGTAGTATTACCCCCTTCACTTCAAAATTTCGATGCCAAGGGCCAAGGCTAACGGCAAATTTGTACTGCATTGAATAGACTAGTGACTAGTATAATGTTATTTGTTTAATTATTGTACGATATAACGAATAAATTATTTAATTATTCTTAGTATAATGTTTTCCTATATCTCCCAGAAAAATGTTTTTCGCCCCCAAAATATAAATTGTTACTAATTGCGCCCCCGTTGAGAAACACTGGTATAGATGATATACTGCAGCAAAGGCTGTTAAATATTGTGTATTGTTTACCTTGTATTATTAGAGATTTTCTTGCAATAATCACTATGATGCATGCAGTCAAATGTTTGATTTAAAGTAATCCACAATGGATATTTGCTTTCTCTGTTTTAGCTTTTTTGATATGATTTGGTTAAATGGACTCTAAAACACTGGCTAAATCCCATCCAAATTTGCCATCAATTACCATTTTATCTATGCCTATTAAATGAGAGATTAAAATCATTGGCTTTAAAGCATAATACCCTTGACAAGTTAATTAATGGTAAATTATGTACAGTACATTCTCTTATCCTTTTCGCTTCTATCCTGGATAAAATGGAGGCATTGAAGTTGAAAGAACACAGTTATGTAGGTGTAAAATTTTGTTTCGGTGCACTCGCATAACAGTGTACTGTACATTCATCATCCCATTTGGGGTTGCTTCAAAAAGAGTGAGTGGATGGTCGGCTAGATGAGGATAAAAAAAACATACAACATTGAGGGACACCATATTTATAAATGCACAAAACTAATAGTAATTTCTTTTAGTAGGAATAAAAGCAATAGAATGATTTGGTGCAAAAGTGGCACTAACAACTTGTAAGCTTTTAATTTGCACTTTGTAAACATTCAAAATAAATTTTTTTCTTTATTTTATATTGTATCCCTAGACCAGGCATGGCCAACATATGGCCCGCGGGCCAGATCCGGCCTATCTAATGAATTTATGTGGCCTGCGATTAATCTTTCAATATTAGGTACTGAAGTCCGAATAGCTCAATGAAAAATTCTGACAGCTAAAAAAAAAAGGTTAGCCACTCATTGTGCGTTTAGAGTTAACCCTCCATTACAAATCTCTTAAGTACAGCGTAGAGTGTTGATAAAGCATGATAATGTGAAAAATGTATCTGTAATCTCTATGTACAATTCAGTCTATGGAGTGACACCACAATGAGATTTCACACCACCTCAAAATCTTCCTAGGGCAGCCTCAGGTTCGGTCCATGGAAAAAGTTTTCCTTCCAATTCTGCCCAGGGGCAAAAACTGTTGGCCACCCCTGCCCTAGACCTAAACCTAATGAGAAATCTGCCACTGCCTAGGAAATAAAAACTATAAGCCAACCACCTCTAGATGACCACAATGGGACAGTCACTTGGAAAGGTTTTACTGTATATTCAGAGCTGTGCCAAACAGTGTTGGCCCCTGATTCTACGTTAATTACAAAAAAAATTATGGGTTCATTTTTGTGCCCCTAGATCAACACCCAGGGCATATGCCTATCTTTGTTTCTGTAAAAATCTTTTTTGTTGGATGGACTATTACTCATTACATATTTTAGTAATTTCTTGAATCCACTTGTAATACCAAGTTTATGAATTAAGTAACATGGTGTAATATTTCTAGCCAAAGAATGCATGCTTTTCAAAACTTGAGATATTAAAAATGTCAGAAATTGCAGAAAAAACAAAAATAAATTATTTAATGTATCATAGTTATATGAAATTATGGGGGTATGAAAACAAGTTTACCACCACAAAAGAAATTTCTTTTATTTATAATGTAAGAATGGGATTTCTTAAAAATAAACGTGAACATTGAACAATTTATTAGTCACGAAAGTAAATTATACTAAGAATAAACTACTTTTTGTCAAACTGTTCAATGCCCCTTTGCATTGCTCATGAATAACAACAGAAGAGCACCAAGAATCTAGCAAAAGAAAAACCATTAATCAGTCCTAACAATTTGTAATTCAGTAGTCTGGTTAATGTGAAGGCTGAAACCAGATGGCACTGATTTTCTGTGTCAATTTGACAATGTTCTTTTAAATTAAATTAAACATTGATTTTCATACTGTACATGTTTATAAGAAATAAGATTTTGCTTAACCTGTGTGTTCAACAACATGGTGAACATACAAGTTAAACTGTAATAAATCTTAAATAAATAAATAAGACTAATATAAAATTAGTGAGATGAAATTCCATTCATTACTCAAATCTTACTATGAGATGATCTATGCAAACGAAGTTCTTGGAAGGTGTTGAGACTTAACACAACTCAATCTCCAAAACTTGAAATGGAAGAGAAATAATGTGCAGGTAACCCCTGTATAACACGGTACTTTTATAGCACAGATTCACTCTAACAAGGTTTGAGAATTGAGTAAAACCCTCGTACAACATCAAATGTAATAAATTTTCACATACTTAAGTACTAATAGTTCACAAAAATAATAATTGTGAACTATTAGTACTTAAGTATGTAAATTTTCTTTTCCCATCTTCTGTTGACACATGGTCCTCCTCAATTTGTTTCAGTGTTGCCAGATATCGACGCTTGATTTTTTGTTGCCAGATGTTTCCCCTTATTCCATACTTGCTTTATTCTTCATAAGTGCTTAGCACCATATAAGGAAATTTTATTAAGCAATACATATTAATATAAATTAAACAAAGATATTTATCTTAATTATGAAAATATAATAGCATGCTTTTAATTTTCAGAACCTAACCTCGCTTTTTGTACTAGTTCTTTGTTTCACGTAACACGGCAATTTTTTGGAACAACTCCCGTGTTATACAGGGGTTACCTGTAATTAAATATAACTACAAATCAAAAATTCTCTTTGCTACCTCAGATTAATGCATTGAGCATAGTTCTATATATTAGTGCAATTTATCATTGCTATTAAAACTCACATAAATGGTTCTTAATAATTTTAAAGGAAAATGATATGATTAAAAGAAATTATTACAATTGAAATAAAAATCCTGTATTGTGCCCAGACAATAACTCTCCTAGATTAAGCTCTAATAATACTTAATATATTTTCTGTCCCAATTTATTTTTCTTAATTATTTTGCAGTAAAATATCAATATAGAAATTACACAAAAACAAAATATTTGAAAACATACAATACAAAGAATAACTAGAAATATTAACTGGACAGATGGAAATTTTGTAAAAACAGTTTCAATTTTCATAACCAGATAGCAGTAAAGATATTGGCATAATGCTCAATCTAGATTTGAGTTTAGGTCAAAAACTTTTTCTTGGATAATTTATCCAAATTCATCAGGTCCTGTTCATTATTACTTAACTGATGTAGCCAAATTCACAATAGATATACAAAGAACCTTAGTACAGTAGGATGAAAATTTTTTTTGCTTTAAAATTTTATTAGTTTTATAAAAAATACCAAAGAAATATATCATTAATAATAATAATAATTCAAATATTGAAAATATAGTTAATATTCCATTACTGCTATAATATAGGGTGTTCCACTCAAAACTACCCAACATGATATGGCCATAAAAAATTAACAGTTAAAGGGATCAGTTAATTACATCACCAAAGATTGTGTATGATTGAAAAACTCATGGTGATTTTTTTCAATAAAATTTGTTATCTCTACATATGCTCCAGCAGTCATATTGACATTAAAGCAATAGGAAATTTCCTGCTATGTACAGCATACGTAGAAGCATGTCTTCTTATAGTGGCAATGGCTGTGATGATGCACTCCTAAAGATCTTGAAGACCTCTGACCAAAGTTGCATACACCATATATCTTTCATGTAACCACACAAAGAAATTAGGCAGCCACGCTATTGGGCATACTAAACCACATGCACTTTATCCTGTGGCAAAGCCATGACTGAACAATAATGCTCACAATTCAACTTCTGCACCATCTTGAATTACAAAAAAATTTCTATAAAACTTGATGAATTTTCCCACCAGATGCCACTTGTTGCTTTTATGTATCTTAAACCATTCATGTTTTATAGCAAATTAAAACCAGTGGTTACTTTCAAGTGGAATGCCCTGTTTAAAAGCATATATTTTAATTTAACTTTCTAGCATTTAAGTCTAATTAATTCTATTTGAAAACTATTATTAGGATTAGTTTGCTAAATATATTGTGTAGTCTAAATCTAGTAAAACAGTATTCTATTTGAGTTTCTCAAAGATTTCATTACATGTTATTTGCATTTATAAAATACATAATTTAAGAAAACCAATTGATTTTCAGAAAAAATTGTTAGATGTTTGTAATTAACAAAGAAACAACTTTTTACAAAGTGGATTTAATGCATGCAACGCTTGCATTAAAACTATTTTCAGAATTTAAAATACATTGAAAAAAGGAAATTCTGCTTTTTCTGGCTGTAATAAATCTGCAAGATAACAAGCTGTGCCAGCAAAACCTTCATACAAACTGTAAGGTGAATCTGGTGTTCTAGCAGATTTGAATTCATCTGTAAACATGAAAGATGCAAATTGAATAGCTCTCTGCAAATGAATGGGTTCACCAGTAAGACGATACAAAAGAAGAAAAACATAACCACTTCCGGCGACACCGTGACATATTCCCGGTCCTTTCCTTAATAATCCTTTTCTCCATACAAGTTCACCACATCGAAGGCACGATTTGAGATATTTATCTTCTTTCCATATTAAGAATGCTTTAGCCATTAAATAAATAACTCCTACAAATAAAAATTAAATGATAATAGAACATTTTGAATTCATCACTTTATTAAGAGAATAAATTAATCTAGTTATAATTGCCAGGCTATTTTTATATTCTACTAGCTTACCCGTAGCGCGTTGCTGCGATCTCAGAAGAAACGAAATTCAAGCAAACTCATTATGATAAAATTCAATTTACATTTTATCATTTTTATTGAAACTTAATATTATTATATTATTATTATTATTAATTCCATGGGAAAAACATTTCAAAGTGTCGTTTCAATTCTATTTATTTATTGGAGTGCTTGTGGATACACGATATTTTTTGTTTTTTCGTCTGATGCGTACACGAATTAATCAGGTTTTCCGACGCGTGAACTGGCCACATACAGTTGTCCATGCGAGAAGCACGGATTCTCCAAATTTAGCCCACACACTCGCTGCGATTGTCAGAAGTGCGATATTCCCCATTTTTATATATATATTTTTTAATCCTATACATTTTAATTATTTAATTGCTCCTTCCTCTCTTCCTTGGCATGTTGTGAAATTTCTGATAGTTGGATAATAAGCAGTTTTATTGTAATTTGTTTTTTAAAATTATTTTGACTTGATATTAAAATTTGGAAAAGGAGGATCCCTAGATCGGTAAAATAGGCGAATTTCCTTCTACAACTTCGGTTGTTGTTCGGGATACAGTTAAGGTTTTAACAAAGTTCGAGCGAATACATAATTAGCAAAAAATAGTTGAAATAAAGTAATTAAACAAAAATTATTACAAATATTGTAAATAAATGCATATATAGAGATATTTTTTGGAGGGGGAAATGGTCTTCACAATTTGAAATCGATCGAACACACGGTGAAATGCTCGTATACACACGCGCCATCTATTGTAGGATAAATGTACTATGCCAGAAATCTTCGCAGGAGTATATTAAACAACTTCCCAAAGTTTCACAGCAATCGGATAAACGGTGTTGTAATTAGGGTTTCTCATTTCCCGGTCTTTTGCTTGTCCTGGGATTCCGAGATAGAATTAATTATTTTTAAGGTATACAAAATATCTTGAAATCAAATATAATTATTTTTCATTTAGACAAATAAATAAACACNAACAACAACAAAAATGCTTTGAATTGAGTTAAAAATTAAAAAATGAACTTAGATCAAACTTATAACTTATAAGGTAATTTTCGTTTTTTAAATAAAATATAATACAAAATATTGTAAACTTTTATAAGATTTTAAAAAGCAAAGATGGTCATACTCCGATCACTCACTCTAATTCTTATTTTAGTAATGAAAAGTCTTGCTACCGAGAATGCCCTTTCCAATTCAATTGATGTGATTGGAATCGTGTTAATGCATTTAAGGGAAAGCGGATATTATGTGTTTTTTCACCTGTAGCCTGGAAGATTTCAAGTTCGTTTTCGAGATTGTAGTACTTCTTTCGCTCTCTAAGTATTCTTGATTTGTCTACCTCGGCTGCTTTAATAGCGGCATCAAGCTTATAACTCGATAATTCGGCAATTCGTTTGGCTTTAATATTCAGGTTTATGAAGAAAAACTTTATACTCGCAGACTTCATACTTGTTTGTATCCTTGTCCAATTTGCACAACCCGGCGTAATGCATTTATTGAAGCTACTGGGCATGGTTAAAATTAAGACAGCGTAAGCACAATTATTCCATATATTACAGGTTCTGATAAGTAAAGAATTTTCAGTCCTGCCACAAATAAGCTACGTATTGATTATTGACCATTTGTGGCATGCCATAACGAGCAAAAATTTAAAAAAAAAAACTAATAGGTAGGTTTAAAATTAATAAATACGAATGTATTCTGACAGTTTATGAGTTAATTATACTTTCTATTTGCAAAATTTCCTCAGCCTGAATACAAAATAAGAAAAAAAGTGAATTTTTAAGAAATTTGCGGGATTTCCCGGGATAAGAAAAATTTCCCGGGTTAAAAAACAACCGGGATCCCGGAATTCCGTTTGAGAAACCATAGTGGTAATGCATGAAGGACAGACAGACACAGACACTTACACACACACTCATTTTTATATATGTTACCGCTAAAGCTCGAAATCCGTTAATGCGCACATTACCTAGCTAATCTGCACATTAACTAGGGTGATCCGTTAAAGTTGCTAAAATTGTTCTATTTCTCAAATTGCCTAGGTAATGTGCACAGTATCTAGGTAATCTGCACATTACCTACTAGGCACTCGGTAAAGTGAAAATAAGATTTTTGTTGGAACAACAGCAACGTTTCTGTACGCTTAAATTAACATAATGTTATTTATTTAATTTTCAATATCTAAAGAATCAAGTTAATAGAGTTTAATGGAATTTTTTACATAGACTTATAATGGGAATCCGAAATTCGACGTATTGTCATTATTGTTTTTTGAGAAGAACTTCTGTGCAAGGTATAATACAGTTAAGATATGCTGGGTCAATTTTTCAAGAAAAATAGGGGTAAAAATAGGCATTTTAAAAAATTTGGCAAAAAGAACTTCGCCGTATTTCGAATGTTGGGTAGACGATCTTTGACCTCCGAAATCTCCCGTTCTAAGAACTTTAAAATTTGTCCTCTGTCACAACACGCCATTTTATTAGCAAAATTTCGTTCGAGTCGCTACTTCACAAGATTTGTCAATTTGAGTCGCGATTCAAAACCACCAAAGTTTAATAGCATCAATGCCTCTTATCCACAAGCTATAACAAGGGGACAATAGGATGTCTAGGAGTTAATATCTCAGGATGCGGAAATGATTAAGAAATAAACTTTGATACGGTAGCTTGTGTATAAGAGGCATTGATGCTATTAAACTTTGGTGGTTATAGGTCAAGAGGGTAGGGAGATAGTGGGGTGGGTCACGTGTGATATTTCAAGAGGGTCGGGGTTAATAGATTTTACTCGTTACTAGCATTTGTAATTTTTTTTTTTATAAAACTCGTTTCTACACTTAAAATTAATCCTTTTGCGATTTTATAATAATTAAAAATACTGTATGAAAAGTTTACATAACAAAATCTCATAACAGATGGCGCCACACACAATTTTATTTATTATAATATAATTAAAAGTATAAAAGTTATTTTCTAAATAAAATCTCACAACAGCCGAGAAAGTTACGCAACTCGTTGCTATTGATAGATTTTTGTTTATAAAAATCAGTTACATTTGTTGAAACGAACGATCTTCTTCTCAGTTTGAATATAGAAAGATCTATATTTGATTGTTTCGTGTAAAATACATACACGATATTTTCTATCGGTCAGGTGAATTCATAAAATTTGCTTATTTAATATACTAATTAACGTTTACGTAACTAAACCATAACACGCATATTTAATATAACCAACGTTCGATGACGTCAGGTAAGCGCTCTTAAAATGGCGTCGGATAAACGAAATATTAA